ATTTGCCCTGTGAACTTTCACCTAAATTACAATTTAAAAAAATTTCTATTTCAATTGCATTATATGATCTTACTGATGACTCTTTTGTAATTATTTGTTTCTTAAAGTAGCAGTATGAATACTAGCTCTATGTTTTTGCATGCATACACATTCACTAGATGTAAAGATAAATTGGAAAATTATCTAAAAACAATCCACAAACTGTATAACTGCACTCCCACAAGCACTTAATACATGTTGTGCATCAGACTTGCTAGGCATTGAGTACGAAGACTACCATGTGGTTCCCATCTTCAGGAGCTGGGAAGTTCAGTTCACTGAAAGTTGACGAGACCCTGAGTTGTCCATGTATGTGGGTTCTGTGGACATCATGGTTGTCTGATTGTCTCCTAGAATTCCAACCCATGCCTTTCTGGTTGTGTAGCAGCTAGACTTTGGGTGGGACTAGTCTCACTCCCAGCTGGTCACAGTGATTAATTAAGGGATAGGCACAAAAACCATAAGGGTTTAGAATGAAACCCAGAAATTCTCCATGGTTGTGGGAAGAGATTGTCTCTTTCTGACCCTAGGATGTGAAATAAAAAGCTCCCCAGGATGTGAATTGAGGATTCCGCAGAAAAGATGTCCCACCAGTCTTCTTGCTACCATGAAGGGGGCTAGCCTGAGGACAAAGTCAATAGACAGAAGAGGTCAGTACTGAGAGCATCAGAGTAGAGCCTCTGGACTCTTCTTTGTGAACCTCTGGATCAAACCCTGCCTGAAGCCCATCCCATTTCTGAATTCACATATATTCAAGGCAATAAATCCAATAAGCTAGTATAAGCTTCAATAAGCTTCTTGCCACAGAAGACATATTGATAGAGTCCTCTTTGATCTCTTTCAGCCCCTCCTTTCTGCCTCACTGGTCCTCATTGGGTCCTGGGACATGTGGATTCTGTGCTGTCAGCATATGTGCATATGAACACACATGCATTTCACAATCCCAAGGCAATGAATTGTTTTTGGTTCATATGTATCTGATGTTCCATTTTTCGAGCATTAATAAGTGTCTCATCACTCATATCAAAAGTATAGTCGAGGAGCGTAAGCGGTTTGAGATTGGCTGCTACCCTAATGGTTGATGGTTCAAACCCACCCAGCCGCTCCATGGAAGAAAGCCCTGGCAAACTGCTTCCGTAAAGATTACAGCCAAGAAAACCCAATGAAGCAGTTCTATTCTATAACACATGGGGTTGCCCTGCGGGGTGGGGAGCAGTAGGGAGATTTCCTCAGACCTGCATTGTGCTCCTCAAATTGCATTCCTGAGTTTTGCTGCTGAACACACTTTTAAAATGCCCACGTGAATCCCCAGGTAAACCCAAGGCTGAGTTGGTTCTCCCGCTGGCCTCTCCTAGCATGACCGAGACCCAAGGGCAGTGCTGTCCAGGGCACAGTGAGCCCCAAAAGATGATGTGTGAAGAAACTCTCCGATCGGCCTTTCCTTATTTATTAGATTCCAGATACATGGGACCAAGATGGAAGAATCCCAGGGTGCTTGATTTACACAGGGGTCTTTGGGAGAACATATACAGAGGCAGGATACGTACAGACGAGTGATGCTCCAATGAGGGACTGCCATCTTAAAAAATATATACATCTCAAGAAGCCATTCCAGCCGTATTATCGTTATTAGAAAATAAAACGATCTTTCCACATAGAGCTTTTCTTTGGTGCTGTTCTGTGGGCATGGGCTCTGGGCCCTTCCATTTTCTTGTCAGAAGCATGTCACCCTCCCACTCCTCCCCCCTGCATAGGGGAAGGCAAGTCTTGTGGGAGGGGTGGCCCCTGACCCAGGAGGGCAGGCTATGGCTCCTCTAGGCCCAGCCACAGCCTCCCGACCAACACCCTGCTCTGGTCTTCAGAGCCTCTGGCTTTAGTCTTAAATTGTGGCCTGGGAAATGTCAGTTTCCTGTATGTAAAAACTGCGAGACACTACTGGGGTTCATGTGACAAACCAGTCTGGAACCTTCAGAAAGGATGGGGATGAGAGGACCAAATAAAACCCAGTCAATATCATCTTCTCCATGGTTGGACTTTCATATTTTATTTCTTGGTTTGTTTCAAATGACCTGTTTCATGACAGTACAGCTGAGAAGGACGGTTTCCTCTTTACAGATTCCCCAGGAACAGCAGATTTGGGGGTAAGCTTGAGTTCTGTTGTTTTTTGGGGGTAGGACCTCGTAAACTCTCACTTCACCGTCTCCTAATATGAAGTCAGTCCCCTCTTACCCCCAAGGGGTCCTACATCTGTCTCAGCTTCCAATTAAGTTAGCCCCTAACTCTTCTAAATGTCCAATGGGTCTGTAAGTACACGCCAGGGCCTTTCCCACTGGATAGAGTTCCCACTACTACCAATAATTCACTTCTACAATAGGGATTGCTTTATGTGTAAAAGCAGCTTCCACCTCACCAGCACCAAACCAGGATCACAGTGCCCTCCTAGTAGAATGGGCTGTAAATCCAAGCACTGCAGAAGGGCTAGGTCCAGTGTTCAGACACCCACCCACTCCAAACCATTGAGCTGAACCCTGAGGGTTGCATGGTTATCCAGACACCTTTTCCTAGAGAACATGGGCCAAGGGCCAGCTGTGCACAAGCCCCTGCGTGCACTGGCTGGGGGCCCAGGGCCTCGTGCTTGTGCAGAAGTGGGGTACAGGGGAGGTAAGAGGCCACCCCCTGCCACACCACTGTCCTGCCTCCACTCATGAATACACAGGATGAGGGGCTTGAGGGCTCCCATAGGCACACCCCACATCCTCTCACGTGAGTTTTCTCCAGCTCAGACTCCTTGGGGGCACACCCCTGGAACGTTCCTTGATGCTGAAAGGAGCTTTGCCTTGCATGCATTCACCCAGATCAGGGACAACAGGACCTTTGTGGGGGTTGCAGGAAGAGCTAGGGGAGGAAGCGTCCTGGACTGTAGTTCAGTACTGATTTGCCAAATGACTTAGGCCTTGGAGTCCCTGTAGACAAAAGGAATGAGAACAGGGCCCATTTTATCGGTGTGTGAGGTCTCTTGGAATCCTTGAAACTGTCTACGTGAGCACAAAATCAGAGCCACTCTGCAGCTGCTGGGTTTCAGCAAGCCCTCCTGTCTGGGAAGACCTCAACATGAAGTTCAGGCCGAGTGGTTTCAGGGCACAGAGCCAGGGAGGTGGGATCAGCAGACCCTGCTCTTCTCTGAACAAGGTTGTCCCTTCTAACAAAGTGAGGGTGTGGAAGAGGGCGCCTGGCCCCCTGGGCAGTACCAAGAGGACACCTGGGTACTTGGTGCTTCTGCCCTGGTACCCTAATGAGAAGGTGGGGCCCATGTGCCTCTCCAGGGTGAGGGGAGGATGGGTTGGAATGAGATGTGAATTGGGGGTTGCCCAGAAAAGTGCCCCAGCTGGGGTTGCTTTGATCCTGGCTTTAGAGGCATCTCACTGGAAAGGACATTTTTCAAACCCATTTTGGTTTGATACCCTTTCATCCTAGGGAGCTCCTCTAAGCTGCCCTCTGCCAGCCCACAAGCACCAGACTGGGGGCTCAGGGCTCCCCTTGAGTGGGCTAAAGCTGACTTCCACAGCCCCCCACAGAGGTTTGCTCAGGACTGAGGGATTTTCTGGGTCAGGGGACTTACAGTGCTAAAAAGAGGACACCTTGGGCAAACTGAGATGGCTGTCACCTTACAATTGGCCAGGAGCACTATGGGGCCCCACCAGAGAGCTAGGTCCATGCACAATGCCCAGGGGAGTGATACCAAACCTCCAAGTTCCAGGAACAGGAGACAGGCCTTCAAGGGGCACTCAGGCCAGCCCTTTGGAATGCAGGGGAGTGGGTGCCTCTGGTATCAACTGTCCCTGGGAGTCAGGATGGAATAGGCAGGCTGGCAACCCCCACTAAGCTCCCTCTTCAGGGTTCCCCGGCCTGCTTGTCTCTGCTTCTGGGCCTTTCTGTGTTTATCCAAGATTAGTTTGGGCCTTACTTCATCCCGCCCCCGCCCCCTTCCCAGGACTGCCAACCTCGACTCAGAGTCCCAGGGTGCCCTTGGATGGGGCCAGGCTCCTGAACAACCCCACTGCCTGCAGGCTCACTTGGCCTGGACCTGCCTTAAGACTGCTAGGCTGAGGGGGGCAGGGGGGTCTTGAGGAAGAAGAGAAGGTCGGTATTCTGGGGAGTGTTGCCTGGACCCTACACTTCTCTGAGCTAGTGCTTCTAAAGGCCTGGAAGTCACCTTGCTGGCTGCACCCCCTGTCTGAGTGAGCTCTGAGGTAGGGGCAGGAGGCAGCACGGGGGCCTCCTGGGGTGGAGAGGAAGAGGACAAGTGGGCACTGGTGCAGGTGGTGACAGAAAGGGCACCCAGGGGTGGAGTGCCAAGAGGACGCACGCGCTCTGCCTGTTGTTCTCCTGTGGGCGAGTCCTGGTTGAGAGATGAACTGGCAGAGGGAGAGGGAGAGGGAGCCTCTGGACTGTGAAAGGTGCTGGGCCTCAGAGCAGGCAGGCCCTTGGGGGACAGATGCCCTTGTCCCACCCGCCCTCTGGGAAAGGAAGACTTCCAGGTGACACCCACCCGAGATTGCCAGCATCCTGGGCCCTGAGCACTGCCCACCCACCGCGGATGGGGAGGCGGGAGGGGGGACTGAGGAAATGTACATGCCACCTCTTGGTGGTTTGTTGGGGGACCAGGGGCGCTTCCTTGGGTGGTCACCTGTCCCAAGGGAAGTCAGCCCTGGCCCAGGCCTCAGCACTGCCCATGGAGAGGGGAAACATACCAAAGAAAAAGCAGGTTACAGATGAGCCCCACGCCCCTGCCCCCCACCCCATGCCCCACCCCCTGCACCAGGAGTCTGCGCACACACAGCCGGAGCCAAGGAGTCCCTTCCCCTGGGACTGCTTGTAGCCGTGACACAGGGGCTGAAGGGTGAGGCTGGTGGCTGTGGAGGTCTCCTCGGCGGTCTGGCTGTCTGTCTGTGGGCTGGCCATCAGACCTTGGCCTCCAGCATCTCCAGGAAGAGTTTGTGCATGGGCACCTTGCCCTGCAGTTTGACGCTGTAGAAGTGCTGCACGGCCTTGGCTGCCGTCTGCCGCAGCAGGGGCAGCGTCAGCAGCAGCTTGCCCGTCCTCCGCGGCTCCTCGTGGCCCTGGCTCAGCTCGTAGTCCTGCAGCGCCTCGTGCAGCAGGTCCTGCAGCTTCTGGACGGCCTCCAGGTCCTCGATGTACATGGAATCTGCAGGTGCAAGGGCAAGTGTGAGGGAGGAGGGTTGGCCAGGGAGTGCTGTCCTGGGGGCCCAGCCATTCTGAGGCTGTTAGGCTTCCGCTTCCCGTCCATCATCCTCAGAGAAGTGAAACTGCCACTTGGAGGTCTCAGAGGCTAACGACAGAGCTGGCACCTAGACAGAGACCTAAACCTATGGAGGACACTTCTTGAGGAACCACCAAGGGTGGCAGTGGAGACCTGAAGGACTTGAACATCAGCAGGCCTGCTGGTCACCCTGGAGGTGAGAGATGGACTCTGAGGCCAGACTGCCAAGTTGGAATCCTGCCTTCCTCACTTGCTAGCTGTGTGACTTTAAGTTACTTAACTTCTCTGTGCCTCATTTTCCTCATCTGTGAAATGGAACAATAGCCATAGCTACCTGAAGAGGGGAGGTTAAATGATATAATGCAAGGCAAGTGCTTAGAATAGCGCTTGGCACAAAGTAGATGCCTGAACAGCAGCACCACCACCTCGATCACTGCTGCTGCCAGGCACCCCCCTCAGATCCTCAGTGCACTAACCTTACAAAAAGCTGGTTACAGAACTCGGAGGCAGATAAAGGGATTGAGCTCGGCATCGGTGCCCTCTGGTGAGGGGCACAGCTGGACATGGGCACGGTGCTGGAGGGGGCTGTTCTCTAGAACCTTGGGGGGAGGTTTGGACAGGACAGGAATCGGGGTTCAAATGAAATTTCCCTAAATCTCAGAGGGGCAGGGAGGCACCAGCTGCCAGCTGGGTTCTAGTCAGGTCAGAGCCAGGCAAAGGGAATCACCTGGAACCTGCTATCTGGCCGGGGGGCTGGGGGGAGGAGGAGCGACAATAAACATTCTTTTGACATTCCTTAATGATCCTGGGCCACCATCCTGAACTGCATCACCCAAGGCCTGTCAAAGGTGGGAGGACAGAGGTGTATGCGGATGGGGAGAACTTGACGTTTTGGGGGGATAGGGGGTGGGGATTGCCCAGGAAGGCTGGGTGAGTTTCCTGAATTCCTCAAAAGAGGAGGGGTAATTCCTTTGCATGCTGGGTTGGTTTAGATATCAGATTGCCAAGGGCAGCTACATCAGCTGGCTGACGCCAGAGGCCTTGCCCCACCCTCTGGGTCTCTACTTGGTAGGTGCCTTCAGTGCTGCCTCTTTCTCTTAGAGGACTGCAGTAGAATGGGGTAGGTAAGACTCTGGAGTCTTAGGTGCTGTGTGACCTTGGCCAAGTTACTTAGCCTCTCTGAGATTGTTTCTTCCTCTGTAAAACAGAGCAAATAAGAGCGCATACCTCATAGGGCGGTGCTGAGGATTAAATGAAATAGAACATTACTTAGCACTTAATACGCACCTAACCAATGTTAGCTATTATATTGCTATTGTGAGGACTCAGACTGGGAGCGAGTGCTCTTGAACAGCTGGTGGTCACTGGACCCATACCCGAGTCTCCTCCTGTAGTTACCATGGCTGTGAAGACGCCTGTTGGAGATGAGGTGTGGCTCCATCCCTACTCTCGCAGTGTTTTCAGAGTGCCCACCCAAACTGGTCCCTGCAAGGCTCCGAATGGCCATCCAGACTCCCTGAATCCCGACAGCTCCCTCTCCCCATCCTCCCACCCTCCCCCACCCTCCCCAAGGAGGCCAAAACTGGCAGCTGCCTTCAACCAAAAATGAAATAAAATAACATTGCAAGATTAATTTCTTTGCAATTCATCAGTGAGTCTGTATTGATGGCATTGATAAACTGTTAATTACAAAATCAATGGCTATGAATTTTTCTGCTGTCAGGGAGCCTGGAGATGGCTGGGACACGGGGTGACAGACAGCCAGCGGGCTCCCAAGGGGCCAAGGTTGGGGGCCACAGCCTGGATCTGGTGTGCTTTGCTCTTCTGTCTAGCGTCAGCACCTTGAGCCACTCAACCCACATAGGTAGCTGAGTCATCCTGTCCCATCCACTTGACCTTAGCAGTGGCACCCACAGTGGCCCTTGGGGCTGTCCACCAGGACCACCTCAACGGTCTCCTGCCGCCTAGTCTCTCCTCCAACAAACACACTCCCTCTATTGCTGCCTGGGTGATTTTCTTACCTTGCCACTTCAGACAGGTCACTCCTCCGCAACCGTTCGTGGATCCTTTGTAGTGACCTCATTACAATTCAGTCCCTTCACTGCCCCGGAGCCTCTAGTTCAATGCAAATTGCTTTTCCAGCATTACCTCCAAGCAGGCCTGTGCCTTCCCCATTTCCTGCTTTAAGCTGATGACTTCACTATGAAAGTTGACTCTCCTCCTCTCACCCTATGAATCCTCCCTTACTTTAAGGTCCAGCTCAGAGTCTATCTCCCCAGCTGAAAACAATTTATTTCTCCCTCCTTGAACATCTGAGCCCTTTACCCGAGCCTCCCTTATGCCTCAGATGATGTCTGCCTTGCTGCTTATGTTCGTGTTCACGTCTTACCCCCAGGGGCAGATTATCCAATAGGCAGGGTAAGCACGGTGCTTACCTTGCTTACCAGATCATCTGTAGTGAACATTTTCACATTTTATCACCATATCACAGATTCTGCTTCTAGGTATGGCTGGTATGTGTCTCTCTCCCAACCTCACAGCACCTTCCTACGGAATCACAGCCTCTTTTCAAATTTACAGTACCTGACAGGGACAAATTACCCAGTAAGTAAGGTAAGCATGGGCTGACTAATGCTTACTTACCAATCTGTAGTGCACAATTTCACCTGTTTTTCACCATATCAACGATGTGGTGAAACCCATGTTTTAAAAAAACATTATTTTAAAAAATATGGGAAAAAAATGAATCAGCAGGTCTGCTTACTGAGTACCTGCTTAGAGGCACTGGGCCTTGTACTCAATCTTCAGTGCTGGGAAGGGAACGTTCTCCACCTTGCTGGCCCATCAAGGCCTGTGAACTCTGGAATAGGAGTGTGCGACCTCTCTCAGGGAGTTCCTCAGGGATAGTGCAAATGGTTAATGTGCTCACTATTAACCAAAAGGATGGCAATTCGAGTCTACCCAGACATACCTCCGAAGAAAGTCCTGGTGATCTACTGCCAACACGTCAGCCACTGAAAACCATTTCGAGCACAGTCCTACTCTGACACACATGGGGTCACCATGAGTTGGAGTCTACTCAATGGCAACTGATTTTGGTTTTGGCCTCTCTTGGGGACAGAGGTCCACCCTCAAACTTGAACTCCCATTGGGGTAAGACATCTGGGTTCCCGGAACCTTGATCCCTATGGCAGAGGGTATACATGGGCAAGGCTGGACCCTAGCTGGAAGCAACTGATGGGTTCATGTCACCAAAACACCGTGTGTGTGTGTGTGTGTGTGTGTGTGTGTGAGAGAGAGAGAGAGAGAGAGCGCAAGGGAGCCAAAGAGCAAGCTGAAAGCTGGTATGGTTTGGTGTAGGGTGGTGGGGATTGAGGAAGGCAGAAGTGGCTTCCTACCTCTTCATTTTCCTCTGCCAGCATGGGTCAGCTTGACCTCCATCTGGTGTGAGTTGGGAGAGACCAAAATCCAGGATGGGACCTCCAAGGCCTGACCAGCCTTACTGGTCTCCACTTTCCTGCCCCTTACTTTGCTCACCCTGTTTCCTCAGCCCAGTTGCTTTTCTCCTCCTCTGCCTATCAAAAGCCCCAGCCCCTGGGCCAAAGGTTGGTTACAGTGTTTCCCCCTGAAGAGGTGAAGCACAGGGGATTGTTAGGATGGTGAAACTATTCTGCATGGAACTATAATGATGGAACATGACATTATGCATTTGTCAAAACTCATGTTGTTGGGTGCTGTCAAGTCGATTCCCACTCACAGCGAGCCCATGTGAGTAGAACTGCACCATAGGATTGTCTTGGCTGTAATCTTTATGGAAGCAGATAGCCAGGTCTTTCTCCCGAAGAGCCACTGAGTGAGTCAGAACCACCAACCTTTGAGTTAGCAGCTGAGAGCTTAACCACTGCACCACCAGGGCTCCTTGGGCCATACAAAACAAAAAGTGAATCTTAATGCAAAATATAGACTTTAATTTTAGTCAATAATAATGTATCAATCTTGGCTCATTAATTGTAACAAATGTACCACACTAATACAAAAAACCCTATTGCTGTCAAGTCGATCTGACTGATGCATACATAGAAAGGGTGCCCCGCTGGGGAGGTAGGGTAGGGTGGATATATGAAACTCTGTACTATCTGCTCAATTATTCCGTAAACCTAAAACTATACTTAAAAAAAAAAAAAAA